ATTTGACAGTTCTGGCTGTTTACTTTTAAATGTCAAAGCAAATGTAAATATTGTGAATTTTCTCATGCTTCTATGGAGACCAATTAATATTTAATTTCTGACAACAGCTGGAGTTTCAAAACAATATTTGTTTCCCATGTTAATCTTATGGAGAAATACGAAACTTTAAAGGGCCCCAGGGCCTCACTCTCTAATTATTTATCTAAAAAGAAAGTTTCCTGCACAACTTCACGTTACGTTCTTTCCAATGACACCAAAAACGTGTCAATCGGTTCAGTAGTTTCGGAGGAGTAATTGTCACAAAAATCCTGCTTGCGTATTAAATAAGTACTAGTGAACCTGTGCGGTTCAATGCCCCGCAAAATGACATATGAATTTAGAAAACAAATTCATCGCATTATATATTGACTCGACGTCGAAAATTAAATGCAGTAATAATGAAGCCTTGGAAGGGAAGCAGTTCAGCCATTTTCTAGCTGTATGTGTATTATATTTAGTAAATTAATAAGTGTTCAGGTTCAAGTATGTTATAGGCAGCGAGCAAGGTTATAGGGTAGTTATTTTTTAAAGATTTTTAAAACACATTTAACAAAAGATTTTATCATATCAAACCAATAGGCCTATGTAGCATATTTTGAGGGTCATAAAAATGCTGCTTGAAGAAAACACACTTTTAAAAATAAACACTAAAAAACAATATCTTTATCACAAAATCACTTCCATGAATACTACGATTTTAGCCTTAAAGTTACCTTCAGGGAAGATTACCCTGGTCAGAGTTTTCCGTAACGAATATGCGTATCCTATAAAAGATGTAGCCTTACTTAAAACAACATATAATATAGTTGCTCATGACTCAATTGGTATGGGTAAGAACAGCGCTGCAAATGCCAAAGGTAACAGAAATTAGCATCTTTCCATTTTGAAAGGTAAGTTTGTTTCAGACGGGTAAATCTTTATCCTCGAAATCAAAATATGTCCCCACTCACTTGTTCCAGTTAAGACTTTACATTCTATTAAGTTGTTAACCATTGATTCTGATCACATGAAGCCTTGTGCCCTTTTTGATATATTAATATTCCTCATCAATAAAACCACTGCCCCCTTTTATTAGTCTAATCTGTTTCTTGGCCATCCACTGACCTCTATATTTAAAAACTCAGTTGGATTTTCTAGATAGGTGTCTCAACCTTCGTCTGTTTTTAAGGACCCACTCTTCTTCCCCTTGGTATACTGACAATTAATTACCTGACTTGTCAAGTTCATGTAGTAATTCAATAATACTGTTAGTTTATAAAGAAAATTTGATAAAAGTTACTTGGCTTGGTGCTTTCATAACTGCAAACTCAAAATACACCCACAAGTAAAAAAGAATGGTTAAAAAAACTATGTGTAATAACATTATTCACATGAAGTAGATGATTTGTTTGATTTGTCGATCAGCTGTTTAGTTTCAAATGAATTAATAATGTCAAAGATTTGTGATTTAAATACATAAATTAGTATAGTAAAGTTTTCTAAATCATGGTAACTTGTTCTCCACTAAATTTTACTATTCCCAGCATTAAAATAAAGTATTAAGATCCATTATGGGTAAACTTTAAGGTACACAATCCTTGATTGAAATGTAGTAGGTATACATTAAGAGTCATAATACACAGCAATTATTATGTAGTAGACTTTGACTATTTTCAAGTAGCAAACATATGTTTCTGTAAATAAAAATTATCTCCCATGTTATCCTTATGGAGAAATACGAAACTTTTAAGGGCTCCAGGGCCTCAATATCTCATTATTTCCCTAAAAAGAAAGTTTCCTGCACAACTTCACGTTACCCTCTTTCCAATGACACCAAAAACATGTCAATCGGTTCAGTAGTTTCGGAGGAGTAATTGTCACAAAAAACCTGCTTGCGTATTAAATAAGTATAGATAGATGTTAATTTACTAATGTTGAACACCGATATAGCTATGAGAACGTGGTTTTATGGGGGTTAAAAATTGGCTTTCCAATCCCAAATTCCCACGTTATTCTTAAGGAGGATAAAATACTGCTGTATTTTTCTTGTTTAGTGTTTTATTTTCATCGATTAGTTTATTTCACACTACGCTATTATCAAAATTCTATTTTAAAAAAATCCCCACCGAAGCAAACATGCAGACTAAGAGAATTTCCGTTTCACTATGATATTCCCTTAAAATTATCACATTCATTTTCTATAAAGATAACTAGATAACATAAATGTTTTTAGTAGAGATTTGCATTACAGGAAGGGTAAATGCAGACTAAGCAAATTTCCATTAGCCTGGTTAGATTTACACTAAAATGCCTCTTTAAAAATATCACGTTTATTCCCTATTTAAATACAACGCTGTTGGCCCGTCCTACGTACGGGAATTGAGTAGCCCATAAAAACTGTATAGTGTATAGTTATATCAATATGTCTATTCCTAATTCAAACCTAGTAGTACCGTAAGAAAAAGCTGCCAAGATTAATTAAAACATGTGATCGTTGTTATTTTCCCAACCTTTCCTAAAATAGTTGAGTAGTAAAATAACTTTCATAAGCTTTCTTTTGATGACTCGAGAACTTTGATTTGTATACAGCCACGGTTATAGAATCTTACTTATTTCCTATAATCAATGAAAAAACCACAGAGTATGTTTGTTTGGATGAAGTTTACCAATTTTATTAATTTAATGTTTATGAAGCTGTTATTTGTGTACCGGTACTAGGCTGGAGTTGCAACTTTAGTTTTAATTTAAATATATTTAGATATTATTGATGATTATTATCGATATTATTGATATTATTTGATGTTATTGATTGTATATATTTATATTGACCATGCCCATCTCATGTAAAAATTATCAACGGCAATAAATATCTTATGTCTTATGTCTTATTCCCGTAATGCTGACGTCACCCAGATTGCAAACAAAAAATCACCTGATTGTATTGCCATATAAGTAAATATTTGTTTTGATTTTATTGTTTTTGTTTTCATAATTTTTCTAAATGGTAGAATGGTGTTAATAAAATAAAATCATCAGGTGATTTTTTGTTTGCAGTCTGGGTGACGTCAGCATTACGGGAATAGCACACCTATGTATCTTTCTTCCATCACCATGGTTACAAACTGTAAAACTGCTTAAACATAATTTTGTACATAAAATTATCTTTAAAATTTACCTGGATGATTGTTAAAATGCTAATAAATTATGTCTAGTTTTAGCCGATGGGTTTTCTGGATTTTATATTCAAAGAGGACAAGGCTTACCGGTACTGCAATGTCAATATGCAGTCAATGTCAATGTCAATGTCAATACTGATGTTGATCAATAAATAGATCAACAAAACAAATCTTGGATTTGATACAACTTTTAAAAGAATGTTTGACAATTATTTATTCCATTTAATTGGTTTTGTGGATAATAATACAAGTTTTTAGTGGTGTTGACAACCTTAAACCATACTAGTGTGCCTGTTGCTCGAAATCGAGCAATTGTCAAGTACCGGTATTATACAGGTGTTATTAAACAAAAATAACAGTCATCTTCTATGAGTGCTCAAAATTGAGCAATTGTCAAGTACCGTTATTATACAGGCGTTATTTAAAACTGCAGTAATAACAGTCATAATTTTAGATTTGATAAGTTTAAAAGACTCAAAGCTTATGTAACTAATTGAAATACTCACTCTATTAATAACTGGTTGAAATAATAAAAATAAACACTTATTGTAAAAATATTTTATCATATTTTAGAAGTTGGCCTTATTTTTTGTTTTGTTTTACACAAATGTTTTCCAACTTATAGCTGTTACCAGTAAACATTTCTTGCATGTATTTATTTGATCTGACATTAGGTAGGTGTTCTTTACCACTGTGACAACATGATTTGTAAATTCTTCATGATTTTATTAAATTGCAAATTAAGTTGCATAGCAGAACTGGTAAAATTATTCATACCACCAAGTGATTGTGTATCTGGATTCCTTACTGTTAGACCAGGCCTTTCTTCTACTCTTCTCAATTCTCATACGTATAAGATTTCCTCTTAACCTCCTCCTGTTTTCAATATTTCTTCTTTAAACTCAAGAAATGTCCTGTTCTTCCAACAAAACTGATCAACTGTTTGGATTGGTCTATAACCTCCTGAATATTACAATCATATATATATACTTCCAAGAAGCTGGTGAGTAAATTTGTTCAATGTAATTCTTATGGTGAAAACCCGACCTTTGAAAGGGTATCACACCTTTAAGGGTAGGAACTATTAAATTCTAAAACCTTAATGCAAAACTACAAATTGGGCAGAATCTTTTGACACCTTAAACGTTGAAATTGGTCCACAAATAAGGGATGAGTAGTGTTCACAAAAAAACAGCCATCACATATTAATATAGAAGATTACTAAACAACATGAAATTGAGGGGGTGGGGTCAGCTAAGGTCCCATTAGAAAAACAGACCATGCTGCAGGATCCATGACGTCACACTAGTGGATAGATTCACTGCCATATCCCACATGTTTTAGGTAAATAAGCTGGCTTTTACGTCTGGCAATTTTAGTACACCTATCCACCATTACGACGCAGTGTTGTGCTGCCCACACTGCAGTATGGCCTCTCAAAATCAAAATCATATTATAAAATTGTTACCATTCCACCCTAAAATCTGAGAGTGATACTTAACCAGCAGATCATCCTGCACACTACCAAGACTGCCACTGGATGTAGCTTCTGCAATGTAGATACTGAACTTTTTAGAGTCGCTTTAATAAATGGAAGAGGTTTAAGTTGGTTGGATGTGCAGGAAGAGAAAAATTCCCTGACGAGGTAGGTGGGGGTGCAATAATCTCTCAGTCCATAGCGCATCACATGCAAAAGGACCAGGAACTTTCTGCCAGGATTAACTTGGCAATATGGTAAAATACAAAAACTGCATTTAATGCATCTGATCATGGTCTCAAAGGTTAAGAAATATATTACTTTTTCAGATGGACTTGGAGAGAAGAGGAAGAAAGGAAGGAGGAAGAGTATACTGGAGGTGTTACTTCAATGCAGTTTCCTGCTTCTAGACAACTCATCATCCATCAAACATCCACAACCTAAAGATATTCTGTAAAACATTTCTTCTTCCTTAAATTTTGTTGCTGCCAATATAATCATTCAAAAAGTTGTAGGGGTCACTATATAATTATATTTTTGACACTAAACATTATATTCATGTCTAACTACTTAGTTGTACGTATTACCTAATGACATGGTGTTCCAAATATTTTAACTGTAGGTGTCAGTAGATTGTATTAAATTGTCTATGATTATATATTTGAATAAATATATTGTCTGTTATACAACTGTTATTCACTCACTAAACCATTGTAGGCTACATTTGTTTACAGGTCATACAGAGGTTATATTTTTTTTCTTAATTAGCTTATTGAAGTAAATTATTACTAGTAGTACGCTTATTCTGCGCGTAACGGGATGAGTGAACGTGAGCGCAACAATGGAAGAGTCCCCCACACCTAGCCTACTTACCGGTGTCACTGGTGAACACAATCAACCAAATCTCAGTCAACAACAATCCTAACTTCTCGTCCAAAGTCTTAACCAAAGTCATTGGTAATATACGTACTGTAATGGATTTCCGACAGTTATCGATAGGAGGTAAATCCATCGTTCCTGTACAAAACGTCTTTTGATTAAATGATGCCTATTTCCTTATTTGTTATGAGGCCTATCATAAACAAAACTAAGCCAAACTGACCTAATCTAACTTAACCTAATTGCCACAGCTCGGTGTAAAGGAGTCTTCTTCAAAATATCGTATGGCTTATAATGATGTTATATAATACATACAAACGATAGCACTATTATTACCTAAAAATGATTAAAAATCCAATATATTTTTATCTCTAACCAATGAATCTAAATGCCATAAACTGTTCCCACACTCCGCACTGCTTGCCTTTACAACTTCTATCGCCACTACCTACGTCGTGGACGTGTTTACCTCTCATTCCTCGGCATTTTAGTATTGCATGTACATTACTCTAACTGCCACAAACAGTTCCCACACTCAAAACTTCTCGCCTTTACCACCTCCTTCCCCACTTCCTACGACGTGCACCTGTTTTCCTCCCTTCCCATAGCCTTTTAGTATTGCTGATTATTGCATTAATCTAACTGCCACCAATGGTTCCCACACTCCGCACTGCTCGCCTTGACTACTTCCTTCACCACTCCATACGTCGTGAACCTGTTTTCATCCCTTCCCATAGCATTTTTAGAATTGAAGATACGTTATTCTAACTGTAACAAAGAGGCTTCCCACTCTCCGGACTGCTAGCCTTGACTACTTCCTTCACCACTTCTTACGTCGCGGACCTGTTTTCATCCCTTCCCATAGCCTTTTAGTATTGCAGATGCATTAATCTAACTGCCACCAATGGTTCCAACACTCCGCACTGCTTGCCTTGACTACTTCCTTCACCACTTCTTACGTCGCGGACCTGTTTTCATCCCTTCCCATAGCATTTTAGTATTGCAGATAAATTAGTCTAACTGTCACAAAGGGTTCCCACACTCCGAGCTGCTCGATTTGACTACTTCCTTCACCACTTCCTACGTCGTAGACCTGTTTCCCTCCCTTTCCATCGCATTTTAGCATTGCAAATACATTAATCTAACTGCCACCAACGGTTCTCACACTCAGACATGTTCACGTTTAACACTTCCTTAGTCGTGGACCTGTTTCCCTCCCTTCCCATAGCATTTTAGTATCGCAGGTATAATATTCTAACTGTCAAAAAGGCTTCCCACACTCCGGACCCCTCGCCTTGACTACTTCCTTTATCACTCCCTTCGTCGTGGCCCTGTTTCCCTCCCTTCCCATGGCATTTTAGTTTTGCAGGTACATTCATCCAACTGTCACAAATGCTTCCCACACTCCGGACCGCTCACCTCTTGACTACTTCCTTCTCTACTTCCTACATCGTAGACCTGTTTCCTTCTCTTCCCATTGTATTTAATTATTACAGATACATTATTTTAACTGTCAAAAAGGGTTTCCACACTCCGCACTGCTCACCTTTACCACTTCCTTTATCACTCCCTACATCGTGGGCCTGTTTCCCTCCTTTCGCATAGCGTTTTAGTATAAAAATAGACGAATATCATAGTTGAAGCATAGTATAGATTTCCCATCCTTATGGAACAGCTAAACATAATTTTATTTTTAGTTCCCTCCGGTTTTCTATAGATGTCGTTTTTTGTTTTAATTAGTTTCTTGTTATTCCAGTAACTTAAAACCTCGTTTGAACAAATAAAACTATCTAATTATAAACAATAACTCGTCCAAAACACCAAACAGTGATATAACCATAGATAAAACATACTCCTCATGAGGAGTATGTTAGTATGTTTTATCTATGATATAACCAAACAGTGAGACACAAATAATGAGAAACTAACCCTAAAAAATATAAACAAATTATAAACAAAACACGACATCTACAGACAACCGGACAGAACTAACAATAAAATAGGCTTCAGCTGTTCTATAAGGATGGGAAATCTAATGCTAATATCTTTGACTATTTAATAGTCAATGCCACCATTAAATTGAATAATGTAAAAAGCTGCTTTTTTCTAAATATATACATATAGATTTTTAATGTTAAGGCGAATTTTAATACTGAACATAAACTGTATATAACTGCCGACTAATATTGTAAAGTTCAATTTATTATTCTGAAAGTTGTGAAATTCTAATGATATATATTCATAGGCGCCATAACTGTTTACTCCATGAATTTAAGAGCTAAGAGTAAAAGTAGTTCTCTCTGTCTTAAGCAGACAACAAAATAGTTTTTCGTAAAACGTAAACAAATAAAAAGAAGAAGAAGGTAGCTCCTAATGTTATTCTTATGGGACAAATTTAAAAATAGTTTTTAAGTATTTAATAATTACTACTGAGCGGAATCGTCTAGCATTTTAATGAGGTCTTCCCACTGGTGTCATAATTATTTGTGCAAAATTTGAACGCTATAAGTGCGACAGTTCTTGAGTTTTTGGTGCGAACACACAGACACACATGGACAAGCGGACAACTTTTCTCTGACTCCGCTATACACGATACATAGATTCGTTCACTTCGTTCACTCATCTACAAGAGCGTATAATATTGTTTCAGCATTTGAGAAATCTAATCAAAAATACTCCTCCTCCGAACCCTCTTGGAAACTAGTGTTTAACAGGTTTTTTTTTCAAGACTGATGTAGTTTAGTTTATTAAAACAGTAATATATTTTCAATTAAAAAAACACAACGATGCAATCTTTTTTTTTTATTTGTGTGTCATCGGCACTTTTTTACATTTTTGTAAGTGATAGGTCTTGTGACGTTTTATGCATATGTTTCTGTTGCCACATTATAAGTTACTTACTGTACACATATGCAAAAAAGACATTTACAAAAGTGGATTTGTTCTTGACCTTAGCAACAATTTTTTATACAAATCTAGTAACTAATCATAGAAAAATGTCTGTGTTTGACATGACACCAATCCATACCATAATACAAAAATCTGATGGTGTATGTCCGTGTGTGTGTTTCTATCATGCTAAAACTACTTGACAGGTTTGTCTTAAATTTTACAGAAATATATTATCTTACCATACTGAGGAATAGTTTGGGACTAACCCACTTTGATATTAACCGGGAACTCTGCCCCAATGACTTTCAAAGTTTTGAGGTGAGGTTTTTAAAAGTAAATACTGATTGGTCACAATGGCAGTAATGACAACATTCACAATTTTTACATCTACTTTGACACTTCAATGACACAAATCCACACAGCTAACAATAAAATTTAAAATATCATTTTCACACAATCCTGTGGCAGGTGAGGTGTATTTATCCTCTAAGATTGTGCACATAAATTATACTCAAGTAAAACTACAATACTCCTGCAGCAGCAAACCTGCAGACATAGGGAATTTATATTTACCTTGCTGGATTTCTACTAAAATATTTCTTTAAAATTGTCAGAGCACTTATGTTTGCTGCTATAAGGAAGGTGATTAAGTGTATCTTTTATTGAAATGTTGATAACAAAATTTGCCAATTTTGATAAAAATACATCCGATCCAATGGCTGCAGATAGTCAGCATGTTAAAGGCTTTGCGGGTTTAATGAAACAACGTAACATGCTGCCCTTGTTATTGGGTTTTGGCTGGTTAGCAATTGATGTGTATTTATACCTTCAGTTATATGAATTTGGAGAACAATCATGTTTAATACCGTCAGTTCAGTTACATAAAATTCAATAATACTTCCGTTTATAGTCTATGGATGTTGTTTATCAGTAGTTCTCAGTATTTACAACAATATGTTTCTTCTACTGAAATTGTGAATTAAAATTACAGTTAAGAGACATACACTAAAGCAGTTGAAATCAGAGGTATTAGTTTCCTCTGAACAACATTCTAGTTGGTACTTTAATAGATACTGATGTGTCTGTCATTCCATATCTTTCAACCTACTATATGTCACAAGGCTAAGGCCGGTTGTGGTAATCTTTTTGCCAAGAGTGCAACAAAACTGTACCTTCCTGTCCCTTCTATTGCTACAAGTTCCTTCTTTATACCTGACCAATATAAATTAGTATGGGCACCCAGGTTCTACTAAGTAAGCTAAGTCATGTGTACTTACAGCTTCTACTTTAACTAGGATAAAAAAAGAACAAATCACAAGAAGTACTAATATGAAATGTTGCTAAGCTAAATCAGCTAGTTCGATGTAATGTAAAAGAAAATAAATATTGGAAACCCATCTTCCTAAAAATGTAATAATTTATTAACTGTTAAAAGTCTACAAAAAGATTGGATCTCTTAATACTAATGTGTAAGGTATGAATTTATTTTGCATGCTTCAGCTGCTACTCTTTAGAGTTCATAAGGGTAATTTGCTTAAATAAAGATATTATGTACATATATTGTAGTAAAAATAATATAAAAAGCCAAATAAACTCTAAACGATTATTCAAAGGTAAAATAGTTTTTTGTAAACATCTCTCGGACAGGTTTGTAATGTTTTTTATAGACACTTAATTAAAACTTTAACATGTTTCTCTAGTAAAATCATATAAAAAAATACTTATTCTTTACCCACATCAATAACAGTTGGAAGACTTTTAGAGTACTTATTTCACTTTCTTTGAACACTATAAAAGTGATTCTTATATGATCAGCTGTTCTCAGTCTTCCTCGCACCCCTCTTTTTATCAGCTGTTTCCACAGTCTGCGTATCAGAGGTGACTTTCTGTGTTTTCCAGCGCAGGATTGTCCGCAGCCCACTTGGAACCATTCCCGGACTTTGTTCTTCGTTCCTTCATCAGATTTCTAGTTCCCGCAAAATGCTCCTATAATCAGTTTAGAGTGTAAATATTGTTGTTAGTTTTTCTAAAAGAAATAAGTAAGACACTTTCCATGCAAGAAAATATAGATACCAAAATAAATTCTTGGCTTTGAACCAATAAATATTAGCATACACAATCCCACGGTCGAATTCCCATCCTGTATTGTTCAACCAGTAAATATTGTTATTGATCATAGAATAAAAGTGTTGAGAAAAGATAATCCATTTAAGCTAGTGGTAATAATAGACTGCTACTTAAAGTGAAAATTCTGTAACCATTTCAAAGATAAATTCAATAAAATACCCGTTATATTTCCATATTGTAAATAAGACTAGCAGTTTTAAGCAGTGGTGAGGTCATAAATTTTACAGTGCAGGAAAGCTCATCAGTCACGGAAAAATAAGGGGGTTGGGTCACTTACGGTTTAGGTACGGGTCACGAATTAGGTTCTATGGAAAAAGCAGAGTGGGCCCATGACATCACCACTACACGTAACATTTAATATGAATTTCATAAACAATCATCAACAAAATTAATACACGGTACACACATCAGCAAGACATTTACTAGTGCAAGATGGCCCTTCTAAGCTCATAGGTATTAGAATTACTTTTGGTAAACCGACCTTATCACTTTTCAGTAAACTTAAATTGGAGGCCAAATGTACGAGGGAAAAAAATTAAACTTTAAGTTTTTAAAACTTTTGAAAATTCTCCTTTGCGTTAAAATTCTTTATCAGGTCAAGAATTTACTAGGTCAGGAAGGTAAATTTTTGAAGAAGTGACAGATCAATATTTCAATACAACCCGAAAGTAATTCTCTTCCACCCTCAAAAAATGTACTTCCAACCATACAAGAAAACCAGCCAAAAAAACAGAAAAAGGAGTATGACTATCATATTTTTTATAGAAAACTGTCTCAGCCATTGGTCTAGTGGTAGAGTGCAGGACCTTAAATTCAAATCACGCCAAATCACCAATGGACTCTCACCAATGGACTCTTTATAAATTATAATGCTCCAGCCCCTAGGTCTAGCCTGAAGTAATGTAAAAACCTTCCTGGGCACCCTGTTCTAGGACAAAAAATCTAAAAATCCCTGGAAAGGTATCCACTTTGTTATGCTAATTATTGATGGTACAGTATATCTAATTGTCTTAGACATACCTGTATCTCCTGAAGTGTCCTTCCCTCGGTCTCAGGAAGGACCAGATACAATATGACAGCTCCTGCCAGGCTCACAGCTGCATACAGACCAAACGTGCCGGCCAGCGACAGAGTGTCCAGTGTGAAGAAGTACGTCTTGTTAGCCACGAAGCCAAAGATGTATCCAATAGAACCTGACGCCCCACTGGCTGTGCCTCGCACCTCAGGAGGGTAAACCTAGAAAACAAGTGAATCAGTAATGGTAGACTGTTACAAATACCCCCACCACAGCAAACCTGCAGACTTAGCGAATTTTCATTCGCCTGATTGGATTTACACTCAAATGTATCCTTAAAATTATCACATTTATTCCCTATTCAATTATAATTATTTTAACGAGTACTTTGGTTTGAGCAACAGGTAGGATAAAAAAGTGTTTTTTGTTGTAAAATGTTAATACTGTAGTTTAGTAAGAAATGAATGTATTTTCCAAATTTGATCATAATATGTTTATAAACATGGAAACTACAACAGCTGACTTAGTCTCCATAAGAATAACATGGGAATTTTAAATTTACAATTTTTTGGAATTTTCTCCCTAACCATTAGGCGCATAATAACTCTTCAATATACTAAATTTTTTTTTAGCTCTACAAAATGGTTTGGAAAGAAATTGTGAAATTTTGTGTTTTTAGGGTCAAAAATGAGAAAAACTATTTTTACCCCATAAAACCCCCCATAAACCCCCGTTCACATAGTCCGATCATGCTAGTTTGCGAACTCGTTTGAATAAATGTAGGTTTACACGTTTGTACCAAATTTCATCAAAATCGGATCATTTTTGCTCGAGTTATCGTTTTTTTTTTTTTTTTTTATTTATTTACTTTACAATCTGTTCTATTATATATTGAACAATAAGTAAATACTATGTAATACGAAAAATTGACTTTGGAACATTAATGCCAACGAACATATATAAATATGAATTTGAACGGATGGTGTTTTTGGCCTCTAGGGACCTTAAAACGAAAAAGTAAATCAGTCCCGGGTCTAGGTCTTACCATGAGTACTATGGTAACAGCTTATTCCCTATATATGGGAAATTCGCTAAAATATGGTTATGTTCTAATATTGTGTCTTTATATGTTAGGTTATAAGCAGTCAGTAAGAAAGCTTCCAAAAGGACCAAATCAGTATATCTACTGTATTCAAAGTATAACAACAAAATAACAAAATATATTGTTTAGATAGCTTGTGGTTAATATTACTCAATAAACTGTGGTATTAATTTTGAACTTATAAATCTCAGTCATTAACCTCTTTGTAACGCAACCAAATCATTATCCTTATATATGTGAAGGCGATTTCTACGAAACACTACTCCTCTGTTAATAATGAACGGATTTTTACAAACGATGGGTCAAAATTAAGTATTATTGTGTAGACATCCCCTTACACCAATTCCTGTAATAAAAGTCCTTGGGCCTTACCCCAAAGGCCATCAAAGTCCCGATGTATTTCTTATGAAGAAAATATTTTGTTTACTTAAACAGACGAAAGTTTGTATTAATTACAGCTGTTCATAGTAAACACATGATACACACAAAGGCATTCGTTTCCAGTTTCGAAAACTGGAGTGGAGTGGTTGATTACATTACCTTTGAGTTGACTCTTAAAACATTGGAAATTGTGACTGTTATTAGTTTTGAAACAACGTCTGTAATACTTTGCAATTAATTGCTCGAATTCGAGCAACAGGTGCACTAGTCTAACATAATGAAGGGTCAGAAAGAAGATGGAAAAGGCAATGCCATCTGGCAAAGGCAAACAATGCATGACTTCATGGAAACAATGCAATATGGTAAATGAACCGAGGTAAGCAGATTCAAGAACATTTTTGTTGTAGTGTAGACCACTAGTTGTAGTTTTTTTCACCCACAGTCTTTCTAGTTCAACAACCTCGGAGTACAGTGGTTGAATAGACATATTGTTCTAAGCTTATTTCCTCAAATATGGTCATATCTTGGACTTATGAGTCATAGAAATATCAAACCAACTGTGCAGTTATTTGTCAAAATATCCACAAGCTATTACAGATGTGTGAAACTAGCTCACCTCGCCAACAAGAATCCAAGGCAGTAACCTGATGCATGTGTGGGTGAGGAAAGCTGCAGACACGAGAAGTACTGTAGGTAGCCAGTTGTAGTCATCTACCTGTCATCAATTAAACATTTGTGAGTGGTTACTGACAGTTTTACAGCGATACTTAAAAAGGATGCCTTTAAATTTGGTTAAGAAGGCGTGATACATGATACAACAACAATAGACTAAAGAGTTACCAACACTATACCAAGATTCTACAATTGGATTATGTGATTTGGGTTGGTTGTAGAATTACTTAAAATCTCATATGTATTTGAAGCTTTGTGAAATAACATGTTTTCCTACAGTCACCCGACAAAGTTGGCTTCCTTGTACTGTTTATAGTACAGAAAGCTGCTAATTGCTGCATATTTATACTTTGCCGTACGGTTTATACTTTGCCGCACATTAGGATTCCAACGAAACAACACAAAACAGCGTGGTTTTATTATGCACGTAATCCGTGTACGCTTGGAAATAGGTTGGCAACACTTAAAGATAAAAATACTATGAGCAGCTGATTGACTATTATAACTACGATTTAACCTGTCATTTCGTGTTTATAGTTTCGGTATTTCTGAACTTTCTGGACTTTTCTTTTAAACGTTTTTAAAACATTCCTACGATCTTAATAAACAAAAAAATACCTTTAAAGCATTTTTTTAGGCGCGGAAACCACTTCAAATTAGAAAAACATACGGAACTATATTCTCAAAACGCGGAGCACATTTCTTGCCAAGGAAAAATAGCGGAGTGATACGGACCGCGGGTACTACTTTCTCTAGGGCACCATTTGTGTCGCCAGCTGAACCTAAAAACGTGTTGTATAGTGTTTGAAAGACTAATTATTTATATGCTTTATAGTGACTGTAAGAAAAATATAATGTGTAACACGAGTGAAAAAGGCCTTTGCTGCACTCGAGATCATTCCGCACTCGCCTGCGGCTCGTGCGTAAACATTGCTCTCGTGTGCAGCAAAGTGCCACTTTCACCACTAGTTACACAAATAACTATTACACACTGAAGGAGTGTAGCAAATTTGCCTTCTCTGAGTTTTTTCAATATCAATACAAACTTTATCATTAGATGAAACAAAACATAGGATTCACAATAAAGGAGAATCGTGTGTGTATTTGCACTCTCACTGATTTTAGACGGCCAAATCTTTAACTGACCACCTGAATCCCAATAATGCACCATATAAGTGAGCATAACCTAGCAAACACACCAACCATGGCGCCAGTAAAATGCTGGTGGGCAATCGTTCACGACTATACTGTATACATGGATCGGGGCTGGGGAAGATTCAGTTACTCAGCGGCCAATGTCACGTATGTGACTATAAATCGCTTGCACACATACAGATTGTTTACCGACCGTCTTTACCTATAAATTCAAATCAATTTCCATTTCAGCTGACTGAGGTCAAAGATATATCTGATTATCTGGCTAGTAAAAATCCAGTTTCTCTGCAAGCATTTGCTACCATCAGTCAGCCGATATTTTACCGACTGTCTGAAATTGGTGTGTGGACAAATAACTTTAAGCTACCATCCATATTATATGGCAAACCGTTCATCATATTCCTTCTTCTTGTCTCTTTTGTACCTACATTACAATCTATTTATGGATTTATGGTCTACAATGGAGTTTATGGTCTTGTTACCAAAGGCAAGTTTAATGCCAAACCTAAACATCAAGATTATGATTCAGCTTTCGCAGATTTAACTGAAGACTTTTAAAAAAAAGAGATTTTATAAATTAATCTGCTCAGCCATGGGGTGTGTGCGGGATTCCAATATAAATACCAGTGGAACATTTTGCAGCCAATATTGTGAAATTTCACAGGCTCACTGGAGCCCAGGTAGAAATAATATCTTACAAACAATGCTGGGCCTCCAGAGTGCTGTGGAATGGACTTTCTTACGAGGAGTTTAATGCCAGTTTGAAACATAACATCCTAAGTAAATATTTACAAGCTGAACCTTCCCCTGACGCCTTTCGTGCAAACCAGCCTGAGACCTGTTCTCCTGTAACTGTGCAATCTACATCTGGAGACAATACCAGTACCACGGATGACCTCTACCCTTACCAACCTCGGACCTGCCAACCTTTAACACATGGAGGCAACACCAATGATGACCTCAAGGAGCCAGCGAACCAAGTGTCCAGTGAAAGTGGAAAATATGGGCAATATAGTGTCAGTGACCTGTGCTCCAAAGTTCCAGCTTTAAACTAGATCCTTATGACAAAGAAAATATTTCTGCATGTACATATAGGGATCTAATAAAAGATAATTGTTTTAATAATTCCATAAAATGTTCTAATATAAATTCCTCTGTACCAATGAAAGTCTTGCAACAAAAATATGTTTTACAAATCAGTAGTTCAAATAATATTAATAAACAACCTTGGATTTTGCATTGGAATATTCAAGGCTTCATGAATAACTATAATGATTTAAATTTATTTCTTGAAAACTTAGAAAAAATGTCAAAATAATATCTCTAAATGAGCATTGGCTGTCTGATAACAATATACTCTCTTCTGTCAATAGATTAGGAAAATTCAAGGTTGGGGACTATTTTTGTAGGAAAATTAAAAAAAGAGGAGGATCTGCTATTTTAGTATCTAATGAACTTGATTTTAAACTATGAGATGATCTAAAGTTTGAAAATGAGGAAAACTCTTTTGAAGCTAGTTTTATTGAGATAACTCAGTGGAAAACCCTTTTTATTTCAATATACAGGATTCCAAATCATGATACATATTGATAAATGTTTTTTGAGCAAATTTGACTCTTTGTTAGATAAGATTTCACACAAATTACAGTTAAAGAATATTGTTATCTGTATGGATCATAATATGGACTTTTTGAACGGCGGTAACAGAGGAAAGCAATTACAGTACATTTGTGAACAGCATGGTTTAAAACATCATTTTGTGGATCCCACAAGAATTACTCCATTGTCTAAATCATGTATTGACAATGTTTTCTCAAATAATAGATCTTTAACCAGCCAGGCTCATAAAATTGTAATAAATGCAGGTGACTCGGACCATGAAGCTCTATTATTATGCCTGGGTGAAATCAACACAAAAAATTTAACTAAGTCTAAATCCATTTTCAGAAGATTTTTTTCATGTGATAACATGGAAAATTTCAGGAACAATTTACAATCATCATTATGGCAATTTGACCCCTCTCTTGACGTAAACATTAACTACAATAGTTTTCTTTCAAATGTTTTGTTGAATTTCAATAATGCATTCCCTTTAAAACTATTTAAATCCACAAATAAAAAAAGTGAACACAAAAATTGGGTTACAAATGGAATAAAAATTTCGGCAGGGAATAAACGTTTGTTGCACGAAGAATCAAAGTGGAACAAAAACCAAGACTTTATCAACTATTTTAAGACATATAAAAAAATTTTCTAAAAAGTCACTACCCTTTCTAAAAAACTGTCAAATGAAAATTATATTAAAAAATCATCGAATATAACTAAAGCCACTTGGGCTGTACTAAACAAAACAAGGAGATGGGCGTAAATAAAAAGGACAATGAAATTCCATATCAAATTGAGAATACATCCCAACAGAATAGTTACAAAATAAAAAAAGAATTGGCTAATAGTTTTAATGAGAATTTTCTGAATGTAAAAAATAAGGTTCAATCTAATCCAGATGGAAAAAAGGCAATGAGTTTCATGGTCAGTGAGCAAAATAATATGTTTACATTTAATAAATTAAGCATATCTGATATAAGAAAGATAGTGTTTTCTTTGAAACCATCCAAGGCTTCAGGGTGGGATGAAATTCCGTTATTTGTTATTAAACATGTAATAGACTTTATCCAAGAACCTTTGTGCAAGCTCATAAACCAGTCTCTGGAGCAGGGAATTTTTCCTGATAAATTAAAATATTCTGAAATTAGACCATTATTTATGAAAAACGACAAAAACAACCTAGACAATTATCGTCCTATCGCATTACTTCCATGTTTTTCCAAAATATTTGAAAAAGCTATTGATATTCATTCAATTAAGATCTTTTTTAGAAAGTAACAACATCATAAACAATACTCAATTTGGTTTCCGAAAAGGGCACAGTTGTCAAACATCAATGGCAAGAATGGTTAACTGCATCACACGGGCTCTGGATGGATCTCAGAGAGCAGCTGGTGTTCTCTGTGACCTGTCCCGGGCGTTTGATTGCGTTGATCACGACATCCTCATTGGTAAATTTAAAAAAAATTGGTATTAAAGGCAAAGAAATTAATTAATTTTCTTCTTATCTTTCTAATCGGTTTCAGAGAACTAAATTAACAAAAAATAATGAAACTGTTTATTCAACTTGGGGGAAAGTACCATGTGGTGTGCCTCAGGGGTCGATACTGGGCCCTAGTATTTTCATAATCTATGTTAATGACCTACCTCAAGTCTCCAATATGGAACTCTTTCAGTATGCAGACGATACAATGGTGCTATGTACGGCACCCAGTATCGACTCCCTGCGACACACACTCGACAGGGAGGTGCAAGCGCTCAGAGACTGGTTCCAGGTGAATGGGTTGGTTATGAATGATGATAAAACTCAGCTTATAGAGTTTAGTTCTAATAATAATCAATATAAAACAGGTAAAATTACAACATCAAAATCTAAAATGCCACTGCAGCAAAATGTGAATTTTTTAGGTATAACTGTCAATGAAAATCTTAACTGGAAATCACAAGTTGTTAATTTGATTAAACCGCTGTATTTTCTCTCTTCGTGCAATCAGACAAGCTGTTGACTTGAAGACTCAGCTTATAGTTTATCATGCTTATTTTTCTTCAATAATGACATATGGTATTCTGGTTTGGGGAAACTCATGCCACTCCAAAAAAATATTCAAACTTCAACAAAAAGCAATTAGAATTATTGGGCGAGTTCCTCGTAGAACTCCTTGTAAAAGTCTTTTTCAAACATTTTCGGTTTTAACATTTTATGATCACTATATTTTAGAAATTTCAAATTGGGTTAAAGACAATCTCTCCTCATTCATGAACCAACCCATTCATTCCCACCACACTAGATTTAAGAGTTATATTAAGCCTGAAACCCATAGATTAGAGAAATTTCATTTATCTCCCCAATATATAGGCCCACAAGTTTACAATAAGTTACCACTCCGCATAAAAAATATTGATAGTAAAACACAGTTCAGATCCACCCTGAAGACCTGGTTAAAAACAAAAAAAAATTTTTCTATAGAATGTTATTTAAATAGGGACGTTAAGTTAGATTAATAATTAAGTAAGACATTTTTGTTATTTCTTAGTTTTAGTATATCCTGTATATGACTTTATGTCCTGTCAAAAAATGATGTAATGACATGTAGTAAATAGATAAATAAATAAATAAATATTAGAAAATACTCTAATACTTCCATTACTTTCCTATGAAATGGCGACCATACGAGTATTTTAACCGAAGTATGAATGGAGATGCGTGTAGGATGAGTGGCGCAATCTTGTAGACTTGTTTGTGACTAAAGTCACAACCCTTCCACATGTTCCTTGGACACAGCTGTTAATTAATAGCCCATAGAGCTAATTATGCACTAAGGGAACAGTTTATAGTGAAATCCAAACCACATTTTTGCCTTATAATTAACGAATTGGTCTAATTATCAGAATAGTAGGTACTGCAGATTGTCATATTATGCCTACACTCTAGTTGACACACCACTACACCAGGGACTATCACATCCAGAGTGCATGTCTATAAATATCCACAATAATTCGTGACTTCCTAAGCTGGATTACAGGACGACACCACCCACACTTTAGTCACACTTGTCTGGTTTCTAGCTCCTGAACTTGCGATGAAAGTAAAGCAAAGTAAGTGGAGTTGGCTACATTTTCCTCAAAAGTGCAGCAGACTGGCCAGTTCCAGATCCCCCTAGATATTTTTTTCAACAATCTTTTTTTCTGGTAGCTGGACAATATTACTATTTCATATATGGAAGCTATACTTGGCGATTCACTTTTCATTTTACACAAAACGTTACGTACCTAATAATATATATATCAAGGACTTTAATTAACACGTTAAAGTTGTTATAGCAATGCTGCCAGTGTCAAAATCTCTGGAAACCGAGCTATTAACTTCCCAAATTGATTTTTAATCCATCATAATAGGTTTATCATAAATTACAAAACTATTTAAGTAAATTATTTGCAGCAAAAACTACCTACAAAATATTTAAATCGCTTAGTTGCATGAGAGCTACTTACATCTTGGTTGTAGCGGTACCAATTGGCATAGAATGCAACAGCTACAAAGCAGACAGTGTTGCCAACCAGGGAGACCATTGCCAGGGGCCGCTTGCCTGTCCAGTGTACCAGTACTACACACACCAGGGCCCCTACCAGCTCCACCAGCCCCAACAGCATGGTGGCGATGTACTTGTCCATGGGAGTCCCCAGTTCTGCAAATATGCTCACCTATAAACACACTAATGGTTACTGATAACTCAACACTGAATGGCCTATGGACCAATATTCTTAAGCAGTCTCAGTGGGATATCGACACAGTGATAGTCCGTTTGTTCATAGCCTGGCAATCAAAAGGTCCTGAGAAAAGTCGTAAATTTTTCCAAAACTGAACTCAGCTATCCTTGATCATTGGAGTAATAAATGATCTTGGCTAAAGAGATCGCTAATCTTGGTTGGAGTCGGTGACAACACTTTTTTTATATTCTACATCTACATTCATTCTTCATGGGTTTAATAGTCCCTGATGCAGGGTCACTTTCGGCCCGGGCCCATAGCAATCACAAGCAAACTGCAGGCCTGCCCAGATGAACCATAGAATATCTAACTATTACCTATATCTCCTCTCGTGGTTCCTGAAGTGTATCTTGAGTGTTCACCCCCAACTCAATTGGTAAGGTAATGAAATAATATTATGATTGTCAAGCTAACTTGTGCAGCTAAAATATTTAGGATTGTATGTGGACTGATGTGTAAATGTAGAAAAATTAAATAGTAAAAATTACACAATTACTATTGAGATAAATAGCGCTGACAACTCAGAAATCAGAAAATCTTTATTGTTTCATATTTTCATATTTTTTTACAGGCTTTTACACTGAGTACTTAAGAATAACTTAGATTAACCAACTCACACACTTATTTATAACTATGAAACAATTCATCCCTAGGTCAAAGACCTGTTTGGGATGTTCTATTACGAAAAAACACATATAAAAACAGCTCAAAAGATGGGATCACCGACATCAATAAATGTTACACTCTAAAGCAACTCTAAAAAAATAACATTACTAAGCTTCATTGTTAAAATAGGACTAAATACCTTAGACCTGATAAATATGAAAAAACTGTACAAATAACAAGGGAGAGTAACTAGATGCATTTAGGATATAAAAACTGTGTAGTTCAGAAGTAATATGTTGATCATTAAGATATAGAAATAAAATAATATGATAAATTGGGAAATGGATACACGTCATAGATAAACTTGGCAACAATTTCGATAATATGCATTAGAATCGTTGGAGGATAGGAACATTTTTGTGAGATGACAAAATCGTCTTTTGTTGAAACATGTTTTTATATCAATTGGCAAGTAATTAAAGAAAGTTGGAGCAAGATAAAGATAAAAGTTTTTAAAAGCTGTTGAATTTGGTTTAGGAACTGACACATTGAAACATCTTCGAAGGGTCAACGCCCGAGATCCTATGTTGTGCCGGTCTTCCCCACTTTTATCAAAGAAAGCTTTTAAAACTTTAAAAATATACAAATTTTTAAATGTAAGAATTTGTAAATCTTTAAACAATTGTTCAGAGTGTTCGAATTTTGTTTTGTTTGATATTATGCGGACAAAATACTTCTGTATGGTTATTATTGGTTTAAGGTTTGAGTAATATGCTCTCCTCCCCACACCTCAATCCCATACTCGATTTTCGAACTTACCGGAGCATAATATATAGATTTCAAAACATTTTTCCTACAGATTGGCCTCAACATATAAAATATCCGGATGTATTTCAATAATTTTTGTCTAACTGCCTCAATATGTATTTTCCAAGATAACTTCGAGTCAACATTTAAGCCTAGATATTTAATTGAATTTACCTGTTCAATGTCCGCACATTGGCACTGTATATCCATTTTACAATTTAACGAATGATATTTTAATGGCTCAGCAAAGCTAAGGTTACGAGACAAATTGAATATTATGTACTTTGTTTTAGGACTCATGACCATAAAGTGTTTTGTGAACCACACTCTTAGCATCTTTATATCAGCTTGCATTTCTAGTCTAAGCTGCTCTAGATTTGAACTGCTGTAAAACAGTGCAGTATCGTCAGCAAACGCAACTAGTCTGCCATTGAATACACCTTCACAAAGATTATTTACATAAATAAGAAATAATGGTCCAGATAATACCGAACCCTGTGGAATTCCGTGCTTAATAATACCTATTTCACTAACAGATTCACCTACTCTAGTTACGTGGCTTCTTTCTGATAAATATGAACTGAACCACTTGAGCGGGATCCCTCTAATACCTGCTTCATACATTCGAGACAGTAAAATAGAGTGATCTACTGTGTCGAATGCCTTCATTACATTGACGAATATACCTGCTCAGCATTTACCTTGATTTATTCCATTGTAAACCTGAGACATAAAATCTAACAAAGCATTACTTGTGTTCATTTTACTTCTAAACCCGTACTGGTTTTTACTAAAGAAATTAATTTTATTCAGGAAGTTAATAAAACGCTCCTTTACAATCTTTTCTATTATTTTTGATAAGATAGAGAGTAAGGCTATAGGACGGTAGTTAGTGGGATTAGTTTTATCGCCTTTTTTGTACAATGGCTTTAAAACAGCTCTTTTTAGAATATTGGGAAATACACCCGTAGACATACTAAGATTTATTAAATGGACCAATACATTATCTATGCTGTCTATGATGTTTTTAATGATAACAGGTGTTAACTCATCAAAACCTGGGGCTTTTCTATCTTCTAATGCACTAACTATATTTTTAATTTCAGCTGTATTTGTAGGAAAGAAAAATATGGATTTGTTTGAATAGGTTCGTGTTGGAAACGTGATGTCGAACGCACTATTTGAAGTTCTAATTCCCTCAATATCTGAGACTATGTCATCTCTAAGCTTATCCGCAATTGTAAGGAAGAAATCATTGAACATATTTGCAACTTCGGTTTGATCTTGAACCAAAACGTCATTTTCATGGGTAAGTATTATTTTCTGATTCGAATTCTTTTCACAACCGATTAACTCGTTTATTGCATTCCACTGTTTTTTCGTATTATTTTTATTTAACTCGAATTTTTGTCTGTAATATACTTCCTTAGTAGTTCTAATTTTATTTATTAACCTGTTTTTGAACTCTTTATAAGATTGTTGAAGTATTTGATTGTTAGGCTGTTTAGCTGATTTTTTAAATAGCTTATTTTTCTCTTTAACCATACTCGCTAAAGTGTTGTTCATCCAAGGTTTAAGTTTTTGTGTAGAGCTTTTAATTTTACGGATTTTTGATTCTGCTACAGCATTATTTAGGATGCCGAAGAGCATTTCAAAACATAAGCATGTATCGTTTGTTTTATGATTATTGGTTGTGACAAGAGGCGTTTTTAAGCAAGGGCGGTTAGGGCTAATAGCACGATCCATATGTGTGCCGAATAGGTACAAGCTGTGAATACAAGGGCTGCAGCATTCCCTAAATAGTCGGAATAGCCATGTGATTATAGCGCTCATCTTCAAGTCTTGAGGTTGCCTAACCACAAGATTCTGAATCTAAATGGGATTTGTCACTGCACTATTGGTTACAGATGCCATCCAACAAAACATTGACGTTGCCGTTAGTAACAGAGATTTAGTCAAGACAAGTCAAGTCAATCATCTAAGGTTTGGACCGCTCTCTAACAAAAACCATAATGAATGCCAATACAAACACAAATAAACACACACTTACTGCAAATGTCTGCAACGTAGTCATGCCTCCCATGTGTCCAACAAAGAATGCGAGAGAGACTATAGCGTAGGGTCGTAGGAAGGTGCGACGGAGAAAAGGCTGCCAGGTCTTGGACTGTTGGTGCTGTGCCGCAGAGCTTTGGATGGACTTGACCAGCATGGACAGCTCTGTCTGTACCTCCGCCGGAGTCACCCAGCCTCGGAGCCATTGGAGCGATCGTTCTGCTTCACGGATTCTGCCTTGGCCTAAACATATCACATAGGCATTGGTCATTGGTTGGTGGATTTTGTTTAAATGTAATTATAAAGAAATGTGTTCTTGGTAATTTTTTATCCAAACAAGCGTGTTTTGTTTTCTAATGGAACTTAGACTTTTAAGGCAGGTTTTAAAACAAATATTGCTTGGATTGAGAACCATAGACACACAATAGACAGTAATTAAAATATGAGTCTTTCTCATTCATTCAACACTCAACCTTCTCTAGTCTTTGCATTGAGGTATGCACCCTTAATTGTGTGTTGCCATTGTATAAATGATCTAAACTAGCTGTTACCCGTGGGGTTTGCCTCATTTGACTTCATAAGTATTAATGAAACTATTGACAGCCAGTTTGGGTGGCATTTTTAGGAAGGCTTTTCATGGTTGCTTTGAAAAACAACATTGGACCTAGTAAGCTGTCAAATTTATATACAGTACTAATTTTAAACTCTGAGGCTTACCAATAAGCCAGTGAGGACTCTCTGGAACACAGCAGAGTGCGCAGACAGCAAGGATGGGAAACACTATGTTGACCAGAGCCACGGACCTCCACGGTAGGAAGATACCGAGGACAAACTGTAGAAACACTCCGAGAATAACACACATGGAGGCAGTGGCGGACAACATGCCTCGGAGATGTGGTTGTGTGATCTCAGCAACATATGTCAACACCTGTACAGATTATACAATTATACCACAGGTAAGTACCACTGTTGGGTTCAAGATACCAAGGACAAACATTAGAATCACTCCAAGAATAACACACATGGAGGCAGTGGCTGACAACATGCCTCGGAGATGTGGTTGTGTGATCTCAGCTACATATGTCAACAACTGTACAGATTATACCATTATACCACCAGTAAGTAACACCACTGTTGGGTTCAAGATACCAAGGACAAACATTAGAAACACTCCAAGAATAACACACATGGAGGCAGTGGCTGACAACATGCCTCGGAGATGTGGTTGTGTGATCTCAGCTACATATGTCAACACCTGTACAGATTAGATTATATCATTATTACGCAGGTACGGCATGCTAGTGTTTGGATCCATATACCAGCTGGTCCATAATGTCTCTCAGGCAGAGTTACCTATGACAGCTATAAATACTTCTAATACTTTCTACTACTTATAGTCCTCGAGTGGGCGCATCGGCCAAAATGACACTTATGGGCACATCAGTCTTTTCAACCAAATTATTATTATTTTTTAAATGTACAATCATTGATGAAAACCAAGGAAAATGTAAGTAGTACATTCCTATATGATATCTAAATTGTTATACTAATAGAAAAACAGCACCATTTTACATTATAAAAATACAAAATATGTATTTACAAGTTACAAAGCTTACACCTGATCATCCTCACTCTTTTCTCCAAGATAGCATTGTCCTTTATCGCACCAATATTTAGTGATAAAAAGAATATGGTTATGCCCCCAGTACACTCTCGCCGAGGCAAGCCGAGCGTTGGCGAGTGCGTGACAGTACTCGGTGCGCTCATCTTCTCTCGCCTTGACTCAGGTCGCCTTGCTTCGCGTCACCTCGTGCTCGCCGGCGCTACGTTTGGAGTCGATTTTTTTACACGAGTCAAAGGGCCTGAGACTGCACAAGTGGCGAGTGCTACTTCCACATCGAAGTTTGCCTCCATTTTGACTGCGAGACAAAGCGAGAGTGTACCCGGTTACCTCGCATAAACTCTCGCCCGAATTACTCGGCGAGCGTCTCGGCGAGAATGTACTGGGGGCAGCAGAGGCATTCAATGACTGATTCTTGATACAAAATATAAATTTTTCATCTTTGTCGACAAAGTGGACCAGACTCTTTGCTAGTTTGTAAAATGTTAAAATCTAAGGCTTAGCAGCATCATCAGTAGGATGAATAGCATCTCTTCCATGCATGGTAGAGAGCAGAAGAACATTGTTATTTTCCTTAGGTTTGTACAGTAATACTAAAACTATGGTTGACGGTTGAAATGCAAACATACTGCTGTTTAATGGAAGGTCAGTAGAACTTTTTAAATCAACCCATTAATGGTGGCTGTGGTTTATCACTTCCTATTGTATCAACAACATTCAGCTTATAAGCATTTCTCAAGTATAATTAATTATTATATAGTTATTTCACTAACAGTATTATATGATCACTTTTTGTATAACATGGTCGATTCCATTCTCCTTGTCTAATATTTAGTTTGGAACTAACCCCTCCCCACCACTGCTATTTCATAGCTTGACCTTTCCATGAGGAGTATCTAGGAGGGGGTGCCCCGGTCCGCTTTTCTCTTCCACGTTTCGGTCTTTTCCACCGAAGTGCGCTCTCTGGAGGGTAATTAAACTAATTTTCCTAGGTATAATAGAATGTTTCATGTTTTGACAGTGTTGAAAAAAATTTAATACAAATCAAACAGTTAAGCATGTAATGCTTATGCACAGTAGCCAAAGTGAAATCGAGATGCAATTGGCACATAGAATGTCATTTTGCTCAGGTCAGTAAGTAATAGAGTACAGTATACCTACAAATTGAGTTAAGAACTTACAGGAGCTTCAAGCACACCTCCACTGAAGCCTGTGAGGACAAGAGCTGTGTAGAGCATGGCCACGCTGCTAGCCCAGTGGTACACAAGCCATGCTGCGATGAACGGAAGGTTGAGCGTGATCATGGATGGCTTGCGGCCGAACGGCTGCGTTAGAACACCAGACAACAGGCTACCCACCGGCACACAGATCAGGTTGATACTACCTACACACAACTGATCCTCTTACTCATCACCATGTCAGTGAGTGGTACAATTCCTATTGTTTAGGTGCAGTGGTAGGACATCACGGCTATGGATGGTAGATGTGTTTATAGCATACCGTAAATTTAAAGAACCAAACTTTATCAAACTGTGTCCTCCCCCATTGCAAACGCAAAGCTTGAGTATAACTGCAATAAGGATTTTATACTTCTATACCAACCCGTACGGGGAGCGAGCTGGCGTAGTGGTTAGAGCGCGGGACTTCAGTCCCTGAGGTCCCGGGTTCGATCCCCGCCAAGTCACCAATGGATTTTATCTAAGTGATAATGCCGCAACCCCTAGGTCTAGCCTGAAGTAATGTGAAAAACAATTCCAGGCTCGTGCCTAGCGTCCTTAGGAAAAAAAAAAAAAAGAAAAAAAAAAAAAAATACCAACCCGTACGAAGGACGGGTACTCTGCTAGTTTTATCATAATCATAAATTTATCCCTAAGGGAAAAAAATAAAAATAAGATAGGAGATAGGTTTTTTTATAAACGCCAAAAAAAAGGCGAACTACTATAAGAATATACTAGGCTACTATATCCTTTTATATAATACGTGAAGGGGATTTCTACAAAACACTACTCCTCCATAAATAATGGACGGATTTTTACAAACGATATGTCAAAATTAAGTATTTTTTGTGTAGACACCATCTATTCTTGTAATAAAAGTTCTCATGATTTGCCCCACAGGCCATCAAAATCCCAATGTATTTCTTATGAAGAAAATATTTTGTCTATTTAACAGACGAATAATTTGTATTAATTACAGCTGTGCATAGTAAACACATATGATACACACAAAAGCGTTCGTTTTTAGAGTAAGTTCGTTTTCAGTTTTTTTAACTTTATTGGAGTGATTGATTACATTATTTTTGAGTTGACTCTTTTAAGTAATCAGAAACTATGACTGTTATTCGTTTTGAAATAACACCTGGAATACTTTGCAATTGCTCGAATTTGAGCAACAGGTGCACTAGTAAGGGAAATGCACTACCTTTGACTATTACCGATCAACAAGTTAAGAAATCACTGAATTGAGTAAAACAAGTATTAAAGCTTGAGAAGGTTACCCACTGAACCACGAGATCTGGTCCTTGGTGAGGTAAAGTTGGTCGTGATGATGTACGATGTTGTCAGTCATGTTACCAGCTGTGTTGGTGATATTGCTGTTGGTTAGGGGGTCCACAGACATGATGGCAGGGATCACTATGGTGGGAAAGCCAAGAGTCATCCCATAGCCCACCAGCAAGATGTTCTTGGCTGTTGTAGCAAGCACCTGTTTAACATACGGCAACATTTTTTACACATTTGGGGGAAAAGATGTTGATTTTTATTTGGGCGCTGATACTTACTTATGATTGTTAAGAACTATGGCACTATGATTTCAAAAATGTCATATAAATAATTATCTATTATCCAGGTCCTGTAAGTAACTTGACTTCCTCCTTTTTTTATGTCCTTCCTTCACATTCTAGGATATTAGGTTCTACCACAAAATTGCTTTATATATTACTTCAGGCTAGTCTTAGAGGGTATCACAGGAATAAAATTCATAGGTCATTGGCGGGATTTGAGCCCTGGACCTCTGGCTCCAAAGCCCCAAACCCCATCACTAGATCAGCTCGCTCCTGCTTAACACAAAATATGAAAGTATTCATCGTGACTTCTTACACAATGAATACTTCAACTTTCTTGAACCTATCCTATGCATATACAGTAGCTTCTGATGTCAAACCCCAAATTATTTGGGAATGAAAAAAGTTAATTGTATCTAAATTTGGACTTTATGAGATAAGAAATACTGCCCGATTTATCAATGGTTGTTTTACTTTACTTATGTTCATTCTTTATATATCTCTCCAACTCTACAGTATGTTGGAAAGGGAATTGTCTAGTTGGATAACACTCACATTGTCCTAAAATTCAAATTAGGCTACCTATTTCAATTAGCTTTCAGGAAGCAGTCAAAACCTTAAACTTATAACATATGTAATCTTTGTTATAACTTAAATTTAAATCTTGTTTTGATGTGAAATATCTCTGCTAAACTATCAAGCCTGGAAGGAGTTGATAAATATTGAAGATTTTCCTCCTAATCGGAAGGTAATTACTATGTGTTCTTCAGTATTAAATTTAAGTAGCAGAGGAAAACGTTTTCTCGGTTAAAATACTTTTTACACTCAACACAAACCTACCAAAACCACCTTCCGTTGATCAAAGGAGGACTATGGATCAACTATGTGTTAGAGTTGTTTTTAGAGAGTACTAAGTAAGTCCATCTATGTTCAAGTTAACAATTATTAAGCAAGTTGTACCATAAATCATCATTGTAAAAGATGAACTCAGCAGTTTTTGTGAAGAACACTTATTTATTCGTATGAGTTTATGACCAATTTTTATTATCACATTTTAACAATGCATTTTTTCACATTTCAAACAGCTGAACAGTGTAAACAAGCATACAACAGCTGATTGACTGGCTCACTAGCAGTGGTTTTACATAGTAACAGTTGGTATGTTGTCATGATTACATTTTCAAAAAAAAAAAGAGAAAAACAGAGTTATCTCCCTTATTTTATGAACAAATTTTCTTAATTTTGGTACCGGTACTGTATCAGATTATGTAATTGAATCCCCTTTAAAAACATATTAGTTGACATTTTTATATATTACGTTTTTGAGACATTTACGTTATAAAATGTTAAGCGCCCGCCATTTTGAAAATAAACACCTCTGTTGACAATAAACACCTACTATTGGTTGTTTTAGTAATAAAGTCATATACAAAATTTCAATTTTTTATAACAAGTAATTATTGAATAAAAAATGTCTTTGTAAAAAAATTTCGACTATAGGATTAAATTTAAGTTGTTGCAAGTTTTATTATGATATTTTGATTATTATGATTATTTTATTATTCCTGGACCATGGACAAAAGTCCATGGTCCAGGAATAATACCTGAAAAATTTGGACCTCAAAACGTAAAAGTAAATCGGTCCCGGGTCCAGGTCTTGCCATGAGACCTACGGTAATAGCTTATTCTCTAATGGTAAATTCGCTAAAAGGGGTTTTGTCACGTAAATGTAAAGAAGGCCGTCACTGACTGCAGATACAGTGTGTGTCGGTTTGCTGTAGACTCACTGTAAGTTATAGGCCAGATCATTAACTGATTTTAGTACCTTACCACTCAACAATAGTTGGCCTACACAGCTAGTTAACGAAACCTTCAACTTTCAACGATGGTTGACACGCATTCGCTGACTTCTAATTTATTAAACAATTTGCACATTGATTTATCCACAATCACAATACCCCTATGTGCTGGAAATATGTTTCCGTTTGGTTTTGGTTAGGTTAGCACTTGGTATGTGCGATAACCCATAGAGATGAATGGATTAATAAACATATCAAGCAAACAAGTAGATAGCCTACACCATGCAGAACAGAACAAGAGTACACATCAAAACCTTGCATAAACAGGATCCTGAACGAAAATTTGTTACCGTACATAGTTATTCATAGAAATTTAAAGTACCCAAAAAATTACTCCTTGAAAATAGCTTACACTATTCAAAATTATTGTTATAAGAGAAATTTAGTTTAAGCAACCACTTTTGACGTATGTTATTGTGTATCGCTACTGAACCTAAAAGTGCAACCCTCTCGCTTGAACCATTGACTACAAAACGTGAATGGTTTGCAGTCAATGCTTGAACTAAACAAGTACATGACCGATTTCAGGCCCAGGGCCGCTCAACAACAAACCCACCATGATGTAACTGTGGATAATATAGAGCGGCGAGACGAAATATCGTCCTTGAACGTGCAAATGGCAAATGGCGCAGTCATCGTCCGTAATTTGACACATTGGTAACACTCAAATAGATAGCAAAATCCTACTTTATTATTAATATTATAAATGAGAAAGTTTGGATGTTTATGACAAGTGAACGCGAAAAATACTGGTCGGATTGGGCTGAAATTTGGCATGATGATAGCTCACATTCCCGATTAACATATAGGCATATTCTTATTTCAAAAATCCTTTCGGGCTCCGCCCCAGTGGCTCTGTAGTTTCCCATGTTAACCTTATGAGAAATGGAATTATTGAATCTTAACAGCTGTTTCAATTAATGGTTCTGTTCTATGATGTTCAATAGCATTAAAGTTACAAGGATTACCAGCAGGGTGCAGCACTATTATTTCTTTTACATTTACAACAGCTAATTTGCAACCAAAAGGTGAGTGAGCGTAGCGAACGAACTCCAACTTGGAGGCGAGTGAGCGTAGCAAACGAGCTAACCTGAAGGCAAGTGAGCGCAGCGAACGAGCTCCAACCTAAAGGTGAGTGAGCGTAGCGAACAAACTTCAACCAGGACGTGATTGAGCCATGCGAACGAGATAATCTTGAAAATTAAGAAGTTAAACGGGGCAAAGCCCGCGGGTTACAGCTAGTAACAAATAAATATCAAACTGAGTAATAAGACTGGATTTAGATTATCCGTATTCCGATTCCATTCCGGATCAGCTGAAGTTTATTCAAAGATTATTGCTTGTCAGTTATCCTCTACCTAAAACATATGGGAATGGCGATGCCAATGAATTTATCAATGAAATCTATCCACTAGTGTAACGTCATGGATCCTGCAGCATGGCCTGTTTTTCTAGTGGGACCTTGCTCTGATACTAGGCATCCCTACGCTATTCTTCCCTACAGCTATAGAGTAAAAAAGCAAGTAAGACCCTCACAACAATATAGATCATTGTTAAGGCAATTTTCAATTACCATTAGATTTTGCAACACTTGATTAGACCTACTAAGACCTTTTCAACCAGAGTAAAGTGGCACAAATTGGAATGCTACCGTCCTCTTAAATCTAGCAATCAGGTTATATTTGAACTTATGCTATATACTTATACTATATAGATGGGGACCGAGCTTTGCTCACTTACATACCTGGGGCAGAGCTTGGCGCAGAGGGTGCGTAGTTCTCGGTGTGAATGCCACGCTTGGCTCGGTGGTTGCACCATCCTTGTGGTTGAAGCTGTGGTTGTGGTTGTGGTTGTTGTCTGGTTTCTTCTCCCCAGCCACTCCAACTCCACCCCCACCGCCTGGTCTTCAAGAACACACCCCTTGGGTTAGACAGTCAATCATTAGTACATCAATAGGGGTTTGTTTTTAGGTAAAAAGAACATTGTCAAGTATAAATTATTAGCAGTATTTCGTTCCATGATACTATAGTCAGGCCTACTTGAAACATAAAGGGTGTTAAGATAAATTTCCCTTTTAGTTTGGCATGAGGGTGAGTGAATAAGTAAGAAAACTGTTTATTATATCAGCACATTCTGTCCAAAGGAATCTTAAACTTAGCTATCCAATATCTACTTCACTTCACTGTATCTATATTCAATGTGATACATTTCCAACCATTGTTGACCTACAGTGAACCCTGTTCAATTACTGGGCAGGTAATTAACCGCAAATCACTTCAACGAGGAAACAAAAGAGTAATCAGCTGCGTGCTGAGGTGCAACAATGGCTTCATCTGGGGACAGTTGTGTGACCTTGAGGTCAAGGACAGGTCACAGGATGCAGTACGAGAGGACAGGATCGCACAGGACTCGGCCTTGAAGAGTCCTGGACGTCCCTAGCAAGTCACGATCTAGATTGATAGCATTGTAAACATGTCCAGACAAGTTGGCAGTGCGCGTGAATGTCGAGATGTTGTAGAAATGTTTTCTTAGAAGCAATCCTCTTTATTTATCACACCTCTTATATAAGTTGTAAAGGGAATGTGTGCAATGTGCTGGGTTATGGTTTAGAACTAATAGGCCTAATGAGAAACGATTATTAATGTGGTGGCATAGAATGGCAAGAAACGTTTTACTGTATAAGGAATATTTATTTATTTTTCAAAATTGTTTGTGCTATCGAATAGGCCTACAAGAAAACCTGACGTGTAAAACGTAAAATATGACGCATGAAAAAGAAAATAGTATTTAGCATTAGCACACTTCTTTATAACTTGAATTTTAGGTTATATAACAGTAATTAAGTAATTACCATATAAAATACTCTTTTACCATGATAATGCCTCAGACAGCTTATACAACCAATACAATCAATTCTGAATTTGGATTATTCTACAGTTAAAGCCAATTTTATGTAACTCAGTTCAGATAAGTTAAATTACTAAACAACATTTTTACGTGTACCCACAAACGTCTGACTGTGAACAAGAAAAGAAGAAACCCTTATTAGAAAAAAAACGTAAAATGTATCTTAAAGAGGAAGGTGGGAAAAGTGTGCGTTAATCGTTATGTTAGTACTGTATCAGTAATAGATACCAAAGCCAGGAAGGATCATCGCAAGGATCGGACGAAACCCCTTATCGTTAATATCGCATAACGCTTAGAATTTTCATCACAAAATACGCTGTCTTTGGTAAATACACTTTTTTTTAGTTCTAATAACATCTCAAAATATAAATGCTAGAAATGATTGAAAGGTTCCAAAATGTATCTCTTTGAGTTACCTAACTATCGGCTAAGGACATGTTTTACAACTTTTGTGAAAAAAAAAAAATCAAAACGTGTATACAGGCCTAAACCACGATTTGAATTGTCTGATTTCATCGCTAACAAATAAGTCTAAAATACTTCAGGAGGAGAATACCTGCATTACAGTATTTTCAAACTAAACTTGCGACTTCGAACTAAGGACTGTTTCGAGCTACTACGTTTGACCGTTCAAATTCATGCTAATAGCTCACTTTTCTATAGGAATTTCGCTAATCATACATATTATATAAATGTTCTATAACTCTAATGGTAATTATCGTAGGAATTCTGCAGAAATCACTAACGTCACGCAACCTCAGTGTTTAAAACTCAACTCGCCGATGTTGTTCAGCCCCAAACATTCTCTCAGCTAACGCCATAACTCAGACCTTAGATATACAATAGGCTCGCGATTATTGAAAACCTTTCAGGATCATAAGATTAGTTGAGAAACGCCCAACCATAGCACTGCTCCCAATTTCAGTGACCATCCTTTCCTGTACGGCCTAGATCATTCTGCTGCTCGTTCTCGATGGGGTATCTACTGTACAGTACTTACTTCAGTATTCATAACTTAACCTAACAAAATAGGTGTAGTAGGCATTTACGAACTGTCTTTTAAGAGAAGAGTAAGTCTTAGACCTGGTGCACAGTACTGTTTGTTTGAATTGGTACCTCCAATCCTACGGTATCGGTACCGTGCAATGGTACCTCGGTAAAGGTACCACGGTGCCAAGGAGGTACCGATGGGCCAAGGTCCATGACTCCTCATCTGACCTTTCACCCACCATGTCTTCTTGAGTTGTGATGCAGTGATCAGGTCAATGTCTACAATGCTGTAGGTGTGAGTTTCATCTTAATAAGATACATGCATTTATTAAATGCATGGAACATAGGGTTTTTTTTTTAATTTTACTTGTATAATATATCGATACCGGTAATTATTTTTACATTGTTATTTTGTTCTCGAATTGTTGATATGAAAAAGCTGAACATTTTCGAGTAGAATAACAAACGATTAGTGAGTGTGGACCCATTAAAACAAGGCTTAAAACATGCCTTTTACCAAACTATGCATGACAACAACAACAATGAACAATGCCACGAGTTTCTTATGTTTTTAATACGTCATGCTCTTACATCTATTGAAATTTGTAGCTAGTTAAATTGTTCACGCATCTGCTTATCATTCTAAAACTCGAATCATTAACTTAACTGGGACAGTTTAAATCCTTGCTAATTATAATCCTTCGGGCGTAGGAAGCAATAATTACAGAACCGCTAGGACAGCGCCCGCAGGTCGTTTGCTATAAGTGGAATGTTCCGCTAATAGTGGAATCCTTCCTTGACCTTGTCTTTGAGGTGACTTGATTTAAGCAGATGAGGAAATGCACAATCAATCGGTCTATAATGGATGCCCGATAAAAATCCACTTTTGTTTAACGTTTGTTTACATAGACTCCCTTTTTATCTGGGCTTCTCGGGACCGAGGTCAGTCCGGATGATGGGGGTTTCCGGTTAAACCAAAGTCCCCCAAATCACTCGAAAACTAACCCAAATAGTTTACCAAAATTCGGGAAAGTTAAACGCTTAGTTATTTAAACGCGTAAAAACTCCCCTCACATCCTTCCCACGAGAAAATTCGTTTCAGTATCATCCACAATTAGCTGATCCAGTCCGGTTAAACCGATGTGCTGATGGAAACTGTCCGGTTAAGAGGATGTCACTTATGCTATGCCGAGTGTTGTCCCGGTTAAAAGATGTCCGGATAAGAGAGAGTATACTGTATTATCGTCGTGATGAGTGTTGACGGAATTTGAGCGCTCAGGAGGAAAGTCGTTAGGAACTATTGTAGAGCCGTCTTGATAGATGTTATCTTAAAAGTTCAAGATGTTGAACATCCTTTTAGGATCATACCGTACTTTGTTTATAGATGACTTATCTAAATTCTAAAAACCAGCCGGAGAATTCTCGAAATATACACAATCTTTGTGTTGTATCACGTTCGTAGCCTGTAATAAGTTGGTAGTCAGGTTCATAACGTATTGTTGTCTACAACTAATTGGTAGTAGTAATGGTAGTGAATCTATGTCCAATGACATTCGGTGCGTTTCCTACGTGGCCCCACAGTCCATCAATTTCTTTTACATTTCTAGGAATACTTGCCATAATAAATAACAATTAAAACTGTCTATGTTTCAAGGAAACATATTACGTTGTTTATCGGTTGTCAAACAAATACAATTTATTTGGTCAAAGTTAATTTTTGGTAAGACTTTCATATCAAAGATTAGCATCACGCTTAAAGTGCTGGCCTGAAAATTAAAAGGACATTGGTTCGATCCTGCGAAAAGTTAAGAAACTGGACCCAGCTGTCCCTGATCATTGACTGATGAAACAACTGATCTTAGTCAGTAACAAAGCTACACAGATCATCTCACAACATTCTACACTCATCCTTCACTCATATTTGTGTAAAAATACTCACCTAGGTGGCGTCCCCATCTCATAATGATAATGATTATGATTATTAAAATACCCCCGCCGCAGCAAACCTGCCGTCTAAGCGAATTTCCATTTGGCCGAATTGATTTTCAATTGATCTATTTAAATAACATTAGGTTTAACGAGTACGTAGGTTTGCTGCTACAAGGAAACTAATAAAGTAGTGTGTTTTTGGTAAAATATTGATAACTTACTATAAAATAAATAAATGTGCCAAGTTTGATCAAAATATATCCATAAACAAGCAAACTACAACATTTTACAATATTCTCCATAAGAATAACATGGGAATTTTAAATTTACCATTTTTTTAGTTTTCTCCGTAACCAATAACCGTACAAAAACACTTTGATATACTGAATTGTTTGTTTTTTTAAGCTCTTTAAGAAGATTTAGAGAAAAATTGGGAAATTTTGTGTTTTGAGGGTAAGAAGTGAGAAAAACCAATTTTTACCCCATAAAACCCCCCATAAAACCCTGTTCCCATGGTCCGATCATGCTGGATCGCGAACTCATTCAAGTTTATCCCGCCTTACACCTTCAAACCAAATTTCATCAAAATCGGATAAAAATAACTCAAGTTATCGTGTTCACGGACACACATATATATATATATATAAATCTATATATATATATATCTATATATATATATATACCCCCGCCGCAGCAAACCTGACGCCTAAGCGAATTTCCATTTGGCTGAATTGATTTTCAATTGATCTATTTAAATAACATTAGGTTTAACGAGTACCTAGGTTTGCTGCTACAAGGAAACTAATAAAGTGTGTGTTTTAAGTAAAATAATTATTGCTTAGTATAAAATGAATATATTTGCCAAGTTTGATCAAAAGATATCCATAAACAAGCAAACAACAACATTTTACAATATTCTCCATAAGAATAACATGGGAATTTTAAATTTACCATTTTTTTAGTTTTCTCCGTAACCAATAACCGTACAAAAACACTTTGATATACTGAATTGTTTGTTTTTTTAAGCTCTTTAAGAAGGTTTAGAGAAAAGTTGGGAAATTTTGTGTTTTGAGGGTCA